AAATGGACCCAAAGCGCCACCAAAGGTGCATGGTGGTTTTCGGGAGCGGGTGGCGGGTGACAAGGTCGCTAAATAATTCAACATCAAGAACACTCAATGATTCAGAACGAAGTCTCCTGGGTCACGGCCTTTTGTTTCAAGGCCTCCTCGTCCATCAGCTCTCCATGGCTTTCCCAGGAAGCAAAGCGAGCTGAGGCGGCAGCACATGCCGAAGCGAACACAATGCGACGCAGCGCCATGGATCAATGGTGTGGCTGGAAACTGGTGAAGCTCTGTGCTCAGGGCTACTAGGCACTTGGACCAGAACAAAGCCGTGCTGATTGTCAGGCCAATCAGGAGAAAAAAAAAGATTGACCCTGACCATGCCTTTGATTCAATTGAACCCTTATCACACAAAGCTAAGCTTCACCTTTTGATCCTTGAACAAAGGGCTTCAAGTTTGGTCTCTGTACGACATGATTTCAAATCGAAACTCGCACATCCGCTCTCCCCTCCGAAGTATGTTCGGACCTCGATGGGCGAGCGAAAGATTACAGGCTCAAGCCCCTTGCAAAATGCGGGTTCTCAAAAGGGAGGCGGACAAAGAGGCTTCCAAAAGTGCAGCCACATCACCAAAAAACAAGTCATCTTAGCATTCCCCATCGAATGCCGTTGACCACTAAAGTGCCGTGGTTTAGGCACGAAACCTCTCAGGTCAACCGCCCTTCACTTCACCTTTTCTTTCTAGCAGGAGTTGGTGAGGGAGTAGAAAAGACTCATGCCCTTCCAGCTTTGCTTCATGTAGATCATCGCCCGATTGCCTCTGCGATTGTCGACCCTTGCAAAGCCTCGGCCATCTTCCAGTCTACCCAACGTGACCACTCCGGCTGTGATGCCATCATTCGAAGGCGGCGCTCCCACCTCCGTGTCATAAAGTTTCTTTCGCCAATCTTCGTGCTTATAGATCATGATGTTGAGGGTGCCCTGCATGACCTCCACGTGTAGGGTGGTAGGAGTTCCCTTGCTCGGCCTTTCCAACTCATTGATCAGCGAGTCAGGAAACATCCAATGGTGGCCCAACAGCTCACCAGCCCTCAGTCTCTTGATGAAGGCTGCGATTGACTCACCTTCCTTAGCATAGTGGACACCATCGAAGAACACATGAGGGCCAACCGAAGGTTTCTGCTGGTCGGCTGCGGAAAAAGAAGCATGCTCTTCTGTGAGCGCCACTCTTCGAACGGAAGGCTCTTGGAAACCAGGACTTTGACTCGCCTCACCTATTGTGGATCCATGCCTTCTTGACCTCACTCCGGTGCTGCCAAAGCCAGCGTCGCCCCTCACCGTAGATGAAAGCTGTGAAGTAGTCTCGATCTTCACCTGGGCAATCTTTTCCAAAATGAGTTGGCCGATCCTGTCTCCTTGGTGCACCACGAATGTCTCCGGGCTGTTGTTAACCAGGATGACCTTCACCTCCCCCCTATAGTCCGCGTCGATGACTCCGCCAGCTACATCAATTCCCCTTGCCGCCATTGAGCTTCGAGGGGCAATCCTTCCATAGCATCCCGGAGGGACCTCCAGTGACAAGCCCAATGGCACCAAGCGTCTCTCGCCTGGTTGAAGACCCACTTCGACTGTAGAGGCCAAATCCCATCCTGCAGCGTCTCGAGAACCCTTGCGCGGGAGTATGGCCTGATCATTGAGCAGGGTGACCTTCAAAGACTCCTCCTTGGACAAAGGTCGTTTGCACAGCTCCCAGCCCAACTCCTTGATGAAGTGCAAGACACACACTAGGCCTGCGAGCAAGAGAATCCAGCCCTGATCAGCCCAAGAACCAGTTTCTCCCCTGGTCTCCTTTGTCTCACACGTGTCAGAGGCATGAGCTCCCGGAAGTAGTGCCACCCCTGCTGCCATCAAGGACATTGACTTCATCATCTGGCCATTCACAGGGCACAACAGTGCCTTTTTGTCCTTTGGGTGCAGAGGTTCATCACCGCCTAGATCAGGGCCTCCCAGCCATACTCCTCGACAAAAACGGCCAAGATGATGAGCAGGTAGTGGTTTGGTCAGCCCATCAGCCCATAAGGAAGTGCCCACTCGATGACTCAGAGACAGCTCTCCATTCTTCAATGCTTCTGACAGGCCACAAGCCCTGATGCGAAGGTGACGTGTCCGCCAACCACCTCCAGCTCCAGAAGCCAGGATCACGGCCGCTCGATTGTCATTGTACAGCTCGAGGTCCACCTCCGAAGTGATCAGCTGGATCAAAGCTCGAACTGATCTTCCCGTTTGAAGTCCATCCACCAAGGCCGTCAACTCCGCTTCCGCAGTTGAGAGTGCCATTAGGGTCTGCTTTTTTGATTCCCACTGAATGGGACAGCCTGCCAAGAGAATGATGGTGCCGGACACGCTGTGGCCATCTCCAGGTGAGAAAGATGCATCAACAAGCACCTCCAGGGTGCCATCGTGGCAAGGTCGGCCTCGCTGCAGATCTGGATCTTTATCCACTGGAGCTTGAGAAGTATAGTGCAAACCAAAGTCCAGAGTAGACCTCATGTAGGCCAAGAATGCCTTACCCAGCTCCACTGTCCATCTTGGCTTCTTGACTGCATTCTGTGCCATCTTCATCACCGCCCACGACAAATCTGGGCGTGTCTTCCCAGAAAGCCACAAGAGCTCCCCCGTGATCTTCTGGGCTTCTTTGACCTTCGGCAGGGAGACTGCTTCTTCCTCCTCAAACTCCTCCGGGACCTTGATAAACGGGGAAGGCAGAACACCTGGATGCCGCTCCAACACCTCTCTCGCATAGCATTCTTGATGTAGGAGGTACGATCCATCACAAAGGCGGCGGATTTCAATGCCTAAGAACCTCATGGAGTCTCCACCCACCGTGGCAAACTCGGGAGCTGAGGTGGACCATCGGTTTTGAATGGTGGATGCTGCAGCCTCCATGACTGTTTTAGGCCCCACCATCAGCACGTCGTCCACATACACAATCATGTGGCCCAAAGTCCTCCCCCATTGTCGATCTCCCCCTTCTGCAGCGGATGTGAACTCTTGAATCGCCCAGAGGTTCGGGTCCTCCATTGGCCTGAACGAGAATTGTCGTCTACCTGAGCGGTTGTTCTCATCCTCATCAAACTCACCGACCATCTTCTGAAGTTCAGCGTCACGAAAGGAGCTCCAATCCTTTGGAGATGTAACAAGGCCGTACATCGCCGAAGTAACCAGCCAATGCTCCCCTGGTTTTGCCAGTCCAGCCTCCTCGAGGATTTTGGGAGGTTTGACGATGACCGTCTCCCCTTGAGCTTTGGGAGCCAAAAGGAAGGCTGATTTGACGTCAAGCGACAGACATTCCCATTGACGAAGTGCTGCAACTCTAAGGATCGCTCGAAGTTGGGTGGAGTCCGCACCAGTGGCATAGACCTCATCGCCAGCCCGTGGCTCCATGTAGTTGCCGCAACAGACGATCCTTGCACGTCGACGTCCATCGCCAGCCTTTCTGGTGAACACCCCCATCCCAGGGATCAGCTCGGCCCTCTCCCCCTTTTCTTGTGCATCAGCGAGGATCTTTCGGGTCTGCTCCTCATCAATGCGTTTGATGGCGTTATTGCCGTCAAAGTTGTCAATCTCAGTGCGCAGTGGAGGGATCCATAAGTGCAACGACTTCCTCACCTCTTGCAAGCTCACAGTGCGAGTCTGAAGAAAGAGCTCCTCCGCCTCCTCCGCCACCCGCGATGCCTCCGCCTCCAGCTTCCTGCATGCTAGACTCGGATCCGGCACCAATCCCTCGATCTTCTCATTTTCGCGATCCAGGTCATAGACCAGCGCGACTGCCTCTTCTTCACCTGACTTGGCCACCTCCAGTCGGCTAAACTCCTCGTTTGCCCACTCTTGACCTCGATGAAGACGACCTTGTAGTTCAGAGATCGAAAGGCACGACAACGAGGTTTTCTCCCTCAACCTCCGGCGAGGGATGACTGACCCATCCAGGATATTGGCAGGTTCGGGTCGTTCCTCCACAGTCACCACATCCTCAAGAGAAGGAGGATTGTCTGCCTGGATGATGTCGTTAGTGCGGATGTACTTCCCCTTCTCAATCTCGACCACATGTCCACCGCTAGTGAGGCTCATCTCTGGATCAGGGCCCCGCACAATACCAGGCTTCTTCCGATGCCTCCAATGACCCTGGAAGTCATCCCAGCCCTTTGTAGTGACCATCACCTTCCTGCCCCATGGAAGAAGAGCCGGCGTTGAGAACCCCAGTACCTTCAGCTGCAGCCGTCCACGTCGTTCACCAATGTGTTTGGACATGAGTGGCCAGAGATCTTCACCCTCCTCCGACGCCCTGATCAACGTGTTGATCCCTCGTCTGATGACCCCGACCTCCGCCTCCGCTCTGCCATTGGCCTTGAAGTCACTTCCACTGGTGAACGTTCTATAGATGCCGCGATCTTCGCACCACCTCCGAGTCCCCATCATCTCCGCCGCCCCATCGCTGTGAACTCTGCGCACCTCCATGCCCAAATACTTCAAGCGTGC